CTATGCCTCACCACACTGTGTCGGCCTGTTCAAACCAGGCACAGCGGCTCAGCACTCTGCCCCCCACCCCCCGACATTTTCATAGCCTTATCCATGGTCTAGGCTCTTTGTTTCGTGGTTAACAATTTCACCCCTTTTGCTGTATTAGCTGCTTTAATCACCCCCCCTCCTCAAATGTTGATAATGTCTACTTAGCCATGTTGTATGCAGCTGCCAAATCAGACAAGCTGTGACCTGATTACAATTTCGCGAGATGATGAATTTCTTCTGTGGCTCTCACGGTTTTCCACCTGACTTGACTGCTGGTATCACTGAGTTTCTTTGGAGCCATGATTACGATGTTTTACACAAATGAAGCATAAAAGACCGCACCATGACGGATGTTTGAAAAGCACTAACACAAGCACTATATGTTACCTGAGCGAGAGCGGCACTTAGACCGCAGCACCACACCTTTGTGTTGTCCCAGCTGCTATCAGTTTCTTCAAGTCCGATTTTCGGTCCTACTGTCGGGCAGATGTTCTCGAACTTTGCTGTTCCATGTAGTGGGAAGTTCCAGCTTGGAGCCATCACTGTCTTTCATATTTAAGTGGGTTCATACAGGATTTTTTATGTCTTGACAGTTTTGACTGAACAGCATGTGTCAGGCCAGGTGGATGTACTCCAGTAGGTAGGTACATCTGCTCACGGTTGTCTCGGTGTTTAGGGCCGCTCTAACAAATGGCACAGCTGGTGGGTGGCTTAACACACGTTTATTTTCTCAAGGTTTAGAAGGCTAGATGTTCAAGTTCAGGGCGCCCTTCTCTGTGGACGCTGGGTATATTCCAGTCTTGGTGATCACAGTAATCTGTGTGCCGCATGGGCTCCACCTTCCCTCCTCCCTCCTGGGAGCCTAAAAAAACCACACAACTCACAGCGACCCTATATAGGGTTTCTGAGACCTTAAAATTGTATGGAAGCTGAGAGAGCCTCACCTTTCTCCCATGGAGAGCTAGTGGATTTGAACTGTGGCCCTTCTGGTTATGTCTCAGTAGTCACTTGTCTCGTTAACATAAGAAAGTGCCCCAGTACCTCATTAACATAACACACACACCTGATTGCCATTAAGTTCCCAAGCTTGGGGACCCTGTGGGACACAGGAGCTGGCCTACAGGGTTTTCAAGGCTGTCTGTCATCTTTATGGAAACGGTCCTGCCCAGTGACTGATGGGTTGGAACTGCCACCCGTTGGGTTAGCAGCTGTGCACTAACCCCTGTGCCAGCAGGCCTCCTGCTACAGAGGACGCCCATTCACAAAGGGGAGAATCACCTGTGTAGTATGGTTTACAATACAGATTGTGTTGTTTTCTTTCAGTGTGATGCTCGGCAGCTGTGAGTTAGTCAGCAGCCTGGGCCCCAAGTTAGTAGCGAGGGCCCAGAAAGAGACTTCTCTGAGTGTTCAGTTGTAGCAGCACCTCACGCCCCACTGGCTCAGGAAGCAGCTGGTGGTGTGGCCGTTACATTGCACCAGTCCCTCCCAGTGGGAGTCCTGGGGGGCTGATATGTGCCACCCTGACTTGCCCATGAAGTTCCAGTAAAGTGACATGGCCAATGGTCTCATTGTCCTTCTCAGGATGCTCTAGCACAGAGGGCTGTCTAGTCCAAGTTCTCTGACCCAGCCCGTTACCCATAGACCCGCCCCTTTGGGTGGCTCTTTTCACCGCAGCACCTGCTTTTCCCCCGCCGCCCGTTACGGCTCACTGCTGCTGGCTTATGCACCTGGGTCCGTCCGTTCTTCTGGCCGTGGCAATCAGAGACTCGTAGCAGAACTGTACTCCCTATGACTTTGGACAAGTGACTTCTGAGGGAAGCCAAGCCCTTCATTCCTCCCGCGGTCCACCCCGTGTCTCAGTAAATAGCAGCCTCAGTTGCCAGCCCAACTCAGGGACCCTAATTGACACCTGTCTCCTACTTGGTTGGAACTTGCTTGGAACACTGCTTAGTAGGGAGCCAGCGTGCCTCTGGGGTTTGTGGTATGTCGTTGGCTGTGACCAGCCCTTGGCCTGGGGTGCCTGGGAGGAAGGCCTATCACAGGAGAGCTCTCCACAGACAGGTGTGGGCTCCATGGCGCCCCTCTGTTGAGTGGGTTTCTCCTTCAAGAGTGCCAGTGTCACATATACAGCGCAACATGATAAACCCATTGGTGGCTCCTGACATCCATTTAGTGAGTCTTGACAAGCCTTAAAAACGGAAGAGTTTCGGTGTCACAGGGCTACCTTGAAGGACAGGCTTTCGAGGCTTGTGGTGTGTGCGCTGGGTCTCATTGTGGCTGTGGTCAGAGGTTTTGGAAATCACTACTCTGTGGGTAGATAGGATAGTGTTTGGCGCCCTGGTGGCATTGTCTGTTAGCGCTGGGCTGGTCAGCAATCAAACTCACCATCGGCTCCCTGTGAGACAGCTGAGGCTGGCTGTTCCTGTAAAGCCTGACAGCCTCAGAAACCTTATGTAGGGTTACTCTGGATCAGAATCAGCTGGAAGGCAGTGGGCTTTCCGGTGGCCGTGCAATTAGTGTGAAATCAGTGAACACCCTCCTAAGGGTCTCTCCTCAAGTACCTTGGGGCTGGGTGGAGCTGGCCTGTGGTTTTCAAGTGGGTTGGAAAAATATATGTATATATAGGCCAGGAGGAAGCAATGCCAGTGAATAAAATTATATATTACTCCCACTGATAAGAGTAATATTTGGGAATCATTTGGCATGTATACCTCAGAGGTCAGAGGTAGGGCTGAAAAGACATGGTTTGGTTTGGTTTTGTTTTCTCCCCTGGGATGTATTCCCTTCTAAATGTAGAGCCAAATTTTGCTGCTTAATTACATTGCAAGGAAAATGCCACAGAATAGTCAGTTTTGGGGGAAGCTCAGTTGCTCTCAGTAATAGGCCTGCCCCACCCAGGCCCTCAGTCCCAGATGCTCTATCTCACATGCCATTGCATGGGCTGGAGGGCCCCGCCCGCAGGTTCTCTGTGGCTTGTAGAGTACCAGGCCGACTGGTTTTGTAAGTCAAATGTAACCAGTGGAGACAGCTTGTGAAAGCAACACTAAGATCCCTGGTCTAGGGCCCTGCCCTTACTTGACTCTAATGGCGCACCAGTTAGTGACATTTTTCTAAGCCCCCTTCCCTCCATATTGCTGGTTCTCCAAGAAGAGGCAAGAAGTCCAGAATCTCCCAGTAAATGACGTTCAGAGCCAAGGTTTGATGACTGCAGGGCGTCCCACCCAGACCTTGTTTCTGTAGGAGAGAAGAGCTAGATTCAGATGAAAGGAGATGCGGGATGTATGATCTGCCAGCAGGCCTGGCTCCATGTTCGTTGTCTCCAGACGGTTCTGTTTAAATGATTGTTTTGATGCAGTTGAAAGCCGTTGGGAAACCAGGCCGTCCTCATGTCCTTTCATCTCTCTGATTTCCGCACAGGCACTAACTGGACATCTTTTCTGAGCATTTACTTCCTGAGTCTTTCTCAGACTCTGGGTTTTGTGTTACTTTAAAATTTCTCTCATTCTTTAGTGGTGGTGGTGGATATCCAGCAAGACGTTCATTCACAGATTCAACAAAATTTTTACAGATCCAGCTCAGGTGGAATTTGGATGGGTCATTAGAAGTGTGTTTCCGTGCCGCGCCCCCCCCCCCCCAATATTGGATGACAACAATAATAGGTTCACCTATTGTAAAAGAACCCTCAGAAGTATCCTCTGTCCTGGAGGGTTGCTGAGTCGGCACTGACATTGTGACTGTGGGTCTGGTGTGGTGTGATGGTTATGCCCGAAGAGGGGCCTGGTGGTTCAGGGGTTAAGCACTGGGAGGCTCACCTTAAGTCAGTGGTTTGAGCCATAAGAGAAAGGTCACAGCCCTGCTGAATTTGGTCTGTGACCAACAATTTCATTTATGAATAAACCAAAAACCAAACTCATTGTCATTGAGTCGATGCCAACTCATAGCGACCCTGTAGGACAGGGTAGAACTGCCCCCTTGGAGTCTCCGGGACTGGTAGTTTAGAATTGCTGACCTTGGGGATCGCAGCTAGGCTCTGTGAGCTGTCCCTGAAACACCGCTCGGGTGGCTGTGCAGCCTCAGCGTGACTCTGATCTTTCCATTCAGGATTGTGTTTGCTGGTGGCGGCTAGATGCTCCTAGTGTTTGTTTCCTGATGGCCTGGTACAGCATAGGTGGCAGCTTCTAACACAAATGCCACTTTTTAAAAAGCCTGTCATGAAACCCTTCTCTAAAGCTGGTGATGCCACCAGATTCAGGCACAGCAGGCTTTCTGGAGCTAGTCCCCTCGGTGTGTGGTGGTGGTGGCATTGACGCTGCCCCAGGAGAGGGCCGTAGTACCCAGGCACACTGACTACGCCCGAGTGTGAGTTTTTATTGTCTCTGTGGTGTTACAAAGGATACAGTGAACCTGTCGTAATCAGAACTTGACAGGGCTACCTTGTATTTCTAGCTCTCGAAAGTGTTCTGCCTTTGTTGGGTGAGGTGGGGGGGGGGCAGGCTTGCTACTTCTCTGCCACTATTAATAGAACATACTGGGGTCTTCCTTCTCTGAGAGGTTTCTGCCTCTCCAAGGTTCTACTGTATGTGAAAAAACATTTTGAATTTCACCAGTTGACAGTGCATAATTCAGAACCACTAATTCCAGGCACCATGTGTGGGTTGTGTCCAGCACGCCTTGCTCCAGCACCCAAGTCATTCATCTTCCTTTGTCTCCATGGACTGCCCTGTTCTGTTTAACACTACCACCCCCAACACACACGCACACATACACACTCCCTGTCAGAGCAGCGGAAGAAGATTCCACTTTCTCTTCATCCTCATCCACGTTGTCATTTTCTGTTTTTCTGGTAATAGCCATCCTAGTGGGTGGATGGTGGCGGCCCCTTCATTGGAGAGGCAGGAGAGAGAAAGCTGCGCCTTCAAAGGCACTCCCGGTGCTTGCTCCTTGGCCTGTCCGCCTTGACCCGGGGAAAGATCAGCTTCTCCAGTGGCTGAGGCTTTATGTGGCTGTCAGCTTCAGGTGGCTTGACTTCACCACAGCTGCCACACACCACCGATGTGCTAATGTTGACAGTACCTCACCGCAGTGTCCTGAGAGCTGGGGAGAGGACTTCACGGCAGTGCTGAGGAGTCAGGCCCTGGAGCTGGTCCTTCACTTGCAAAGCATGACTGCAGACCCAGCTCCCTGGAGACAAACCCCTGGCCAGTGCTTTCAGAATCCAGAATTATATTTCCGTTTTCACCTAGAGGCCTGGCCGCATCTTGTTACCCAGCAGGCGACGTTTGGATGGCAAAGCATGCGAATATTCCCAGAAAAGCATTACAAGTCAGGTTTGTCTGAAACTTACTTAAAAGGCAAAAAGGTACCCAGCAGCTTCATTGCTAGGTAGATCCCTGAAAGACTAGAAAGCAGAGAGACTCAAACAGAGATGTGTCCGCACTGTTGGCAGGAGGCAGCCTGTGGAAACAACCTACGTGCCCATCTCCAGATGAATGGTTACACAGCACGTGGTGCACACTTTACAATGGGGCATTACTCAGCCAGAGGGGAAAGGAAGTCGACACGTGATGAGCTTGAAGGCATGCTGAGTGAAATAAGTCAGTCACAGAAGGACATAGATCATGTGATGATCTAACAAGGCAAGAGAGGCAAATGTCTGAAAAGAAGTAAGAACCAGGTCACATCAGTTATATGCACACCCGTATTCATTGTGGCACTGTTCACACTAGCAAAGAGATAGGAGCAGACTAAGTGCCCCGCAATAGGTGAATGGTACATGCATACAATGGAAAGCTGTGCACTCTTGAGTAATTCTGTGAAATACCTTATAATGTGGATGAACCTGGGGGGTGTTATGCTGAGTGACATAGTCACAAAGGACATTCTATGCGTCCATTATTGATTAAAAAGTCAAGCTTCATACCCAGAATGAAACATGAGGTAATAGATGTGTATTAATTTGGGAGAAGGGAAAGGTGTTATACAATAAGGGTGATCAGTGCAGTATCATTAAGGAAACGGAAGACAGGAGGTCCTCAAGAGTTAACTCCAATTAACCCACAGCCCTGCACTGTCTAAATACAAACCTTAACCTACAAGTGGAAACACAGGCAGATAGGCAAGATGCACAGATAACGGTGTGCGGAAGGGACTCTACCCGTGACCACACACAGACTTGGCAGAGGCATTTCTACATACATACTTGTATGAGCATGTGCTCCAAGTATGTCCATGTCTACAGTAGAGCAAACAGAGCAGAGTTGTGTAGACAACGTGAACATAGGCAAACACCTTGAGGGAATGAGTCACTTGGGCCCCGAGACCATGGACTTGGGGGACATCAATGCCAATTGGCACAGCGCAGTCCCCACAGTAATGCTCTGTGTCCTACTTGAGTGAGTGGTGACTGGGTCTTCAGAGGGTTGGGAGGCCATCTGAGGTGCAGCTGTAGGTCTCTCCTCAACCTGAGAAAAGAAGGATGAAGAGCCATTGATGCCAGGAAACAATTCGTCCAGAGGAAGACTGGGCCCAGGAGACGCTAAGACCAGAAGAACTGGGTGGTGCCCAGCTGTCGTCCTTGACTGCTTTGTAAGGGGTCCTAGTAGAGGGTCTTGGATAAAGTGAGAGAAAACAGTGGTTATAACTCAACAATTGTCGAAGGGACCGGGACTTCTGGTCTAATAGAGACTTGCGGAACCCCTGAAACTACATCTCTTAGTCACCCCTCCAGCTGGGATGAACTTGCCACCATGGCTCAAACTTTCACCCAAACAATAAGTCTGGTGGACAGTAACACGAGGGAGCTGTGTGCTCCTTAAGACAGTTGGTCATAGGAGCTCAAACCCGCAGCTTTTACTTGGGACAAAGCTCAGAAGGGAGAAAGGGAAGGGAATGGAGAGGAGGAATGAAAATAGGGAGGTGGGAAGATGCAGGGGAAGCGCTGTTACATGTCGGGGTTGGTATCACAAAGCAAAATGTGTGAATTAGAAGACAGTTTATACACTCTCAGCTGAATAAAAAGTTAAAAAGCAATTTTTATTCAGAGTTTGATTTTCCCTGAGCTTACCAGATTTGGTATGCATGGTAAGGTCTCAAGGATTCCCTGTGAGGGTTAGGTCAGGGGTGGCACTGAGGGCCCCGGACTTTGGGGAACCCCAGCCTGCTGAGGAGCATGTTCGTGCCAGCCTCTGGGTTTGCTGGCCTGCCAGCCTCGGGTCCCTGCCTACTGAGTTTCTGCTCCTGGAACAGTTATTCGGGTTTTTTTATCTCATCTTCTGGAAAACCTTCCCAGCTTTAAAAGTAGAAGAAGAAAGGATTTCATTGAGACATTAAAAATGTCCCTCTAGCTTTCTTAGGAAGTACCTGAAATGTCCAGTAAGGTTGAGAGGTTAATTTGCTGACCTTTCAGTTATTATTTCCACCCCACGCCCCAGGGACCGACTCCTAGTGTGGTAATCAACCAGAAAGTCAGCCCACTGCCCGCAAGTCCAAGTGCAGCTACTGTTGTGTGTATGGTACTTTTATTTTAAACGAACCCACTTAAAAATATAGATAGTAAAATAAATGAATAATATATTTTTGTTATTATAAATATGCTTAAACATACATTTAAATATAAATATATTTATAAATAATTGTAGTTTTATTGACATGTCTTACATTCCAGTATGTCCATTCACACACAGTTCTGTTCAATCCCATGAGGTAGAATTATTCAATCATCGATGCTATCCGATCCCCTTACCCCTCCCCTCTCTCCTCCCATATCCTCAGGGACCCACCACTCCTGTCAGTCTCTGAGTGGTGGTCACATACTGTACGGAGCTATCCTAAACAGACAAAAGAACATACGCAACGCTCCCAGGCCTTCCTGAGCTGGGTTCTCTGGTCTGCTTTTGAAGCCTGAGACTGGGAAAAGGTTTGGGTGGCTGGGTGCTAGGTGTCCAAGGCATCAGGGGGCTGATTTTGGCATCATACCTGGTCCTCCCTTTCCTGCCCTGCCCCGCCCCTTGGTGGCTGTGACCCCAGACTGACTGAGACTTCTTTCCAGCAGGAGACCACTGAACGCAGCTCCGAGATGTCCACTCCAGACCCACCCCTGGGCGGCACTCCTCGGCCGGGGCCTTCCCCGGGCCCAGGCCCCTCCCCTGGGGCCATGTTGGGCCCCAGCCCTGGTCCCTCTCCTGGCTCTGCCCACAGCATGATGGGGCCCAGCCCGGGCCCCCCCTCAGCAGGACACCCCATCCCAACCCAGGGACCTGGAGGGTACCCTCAGGATAACATGCATCAGATGCACAAGGTAGGTAAACTCTGTACCCCTTCCCCCACCCTAGGATGGAGGAGCCTGGACCCTGCAGTCGAAGGCAGTCTCTGGGCCAGACCCCAGTAGAGGCCTGGGGAACCACTCCCACCTGGCTCCATTATCCATCCTGTGCCAGGCCTATAGGCTTAGAGCTTGTCGGGGTGGGCTGCACACCAGCCTGCTGGAACCCGGCAGCAGCATCCCAGCCTGTCTCCCACACTCACCTTCTATGCTGGAAGCAAAGCGACGCAGCTCTTTATGTGAATACATGTAATGAAAGCAGACACATTCCCCGCCCCTCCACATGGCTACAGGTAGGCAGCAGCCTCCATGTGGGGTGACCTGCCGACCTTGGAGCTGGGCCTCAGGTACCTTCATTGAGCCCTTGGTTCCGTCTGAACTGAGCAGGGTCACTGTGGCAACAAGTTGAAAAGTGCTTTAAACCCCATGTGTTTCTAGGTCTAGGTTGGTTAGCATCTAGGGAAGGGCATTTCCCCAAAACAGGACCACACATGCCAGGTGGGAGATGAGGCTGGCGCCCAATGTGTGCTGGCTCCTGGTCTCTTGGCTGGGCTTTCAAGTGTCGGCACCTCACGCCTATTTCACAGACTAGAAAGCAGAGCCAGAGAGGTGATCGCTGAGCGAGTTGGTGGTGCCTGTCTCTTCTCTGTGCCTCAGGCAGGTGCTGCCACTGCCACCGCCACTGTCAGCAGTGTGCCCTTCCCCGCCAGCCCCCTACAGTTCTGTCACCATGAGTATAGGGTCTGCTCTGCTGTGTCTGTCCTGGTGGTTACCCCCTCCCCCCACACCTCCTGATTAAAGACTAGCTTCCCACCTTCTAGATGTTGGGACTCATGGTGACAGGACACCCAAGGGCCCACCTTTTGCCTCTGCTCCCAGCTGGGCAGCTCTTCTTCCTCCTCACACTTCTCGTTGGTCACTGTAGACTGGGTTCCCAGAAAACCGAGCTTCTGTGGTCTCCTGTGCCCAGGAAGCTGCCCAGGTGGGTACCCTTCCCCAGCCAGCACCAGAGCACCAGGAAGGAGAGCACATTTCTTCCTGGAGAAGTCTGAGATTGCCTCTTAGAAGAGGAGGAGGAGGAGGTAGTTTGACAGCCTCCATCCCCATCAGCAGGCACTGACCTGGGGCACATGGATGTGTTGGACACATTGCTAGATGCTCACAGACATTAGAAGATGTCAGGGTTCTGTGTGACAGTGAGGTGGGGCCTAATGCCTGGCAAATGAACAGGACTGCTGTTCTTGCCTGTGGGCTTTAGGGCATCAGCTAAAACTTTGTCCTTCTCCTCAATGCCCTGGTGCAGCTCAGTCATCTCACCTTTAGTCCGGCCTAGACCCTGTCAGGTGCTGACACTTCCTTGAGGTCTGTCTTGACTCCCAAGTGGGTGTCAGTGAGTCCATGGAAGCCGTGGTGATGGTGTGGGCCTCGTGTGGCTAGGCTGCCTTTTCGTGTACCTCCTTGCTGACTCTGCCCGTGTCCACAGCCCATGGAGTCCATGCATGAGAAGGGCATGTCGGATGACCCCCGCTACAGCCAGATGAAGGGCATGGGGATGCGGTCGGGCGGCCATGCAGGGATGGGGCCGCCGCCGAGCCCGATGGACCAGCATTCTCAAGGTACTGGTGTGTTGTGTGTCTCTGTCCTGCCTTGTCCATGTTGACTCTGGGTTTCCCATTGGGGCCCACAGATTGACCCAGGGTAGTCTGTGAGAACGCCCCATGTCACCTAGGTGTTTAGGAGAGATCTAGGCTTTTGAACCCCCTTCAGACCTATGAAAGCCGCCGCTCTGGGAGGAGGGCTCTGGGTGGCTTCTGGGGAAGGAGAGATTGAGACTCACTGTCCAGCCCTCTGGGTGGAGGCGGCAGTGGGCGGGAGAGCTGTCAGTCGTTTCTAGTTTATCGTGCTGTTGTGTACAACAGAATCTCGTTGCTGTGTTTGAGCCCCTTGTAGCCCCTTATCAGTCCTTTCCCTGAGGGTCTGTCTCTTTTCCCTTGGCTCTTTGCTTTACAAACCTGACTGGTCATAAGAGTGGAAAGCAGGGCTCTGAGGGCGGTGGCTGGGCCAAAGAGATGGGGACAGTGCCCAGGCCTGAGGAATGTCGTCACTCAGCATTGATGTGGGCCTGGGGCTGAGGCTGAGGTGTGGTCTCCGGGACTCTGTGACCCACAAGATGGGGCTCTGTGACCATTCCCGTCATCGTCACAGATCGGTGCTGCCTAGTGACTGTCTGCTGTCTCTTCCCAGGCTACCCCTCACCACTGGGCGGCTCCGAGCATTCCTCCAGCCCCGTTCCAGCCAGTGGCCCATCCTCAGGCCCACAGATGTCATCCGGGCCAGGAGGGGCCCCCCTGGATGGTGCCGACCCCCAGGCCTTAGGGCAGCAGAACAGGGGCCCAACCCCATTTAACCAGAACCAGCTGCACCAGCTCCGAGCTCAGATCATGGCATACAAGATGCTGGCCCGGGGGCAGCCCCTCCCTGATCACCTGCAGATGGCAGTGCAGGGCAAGCGACCCATGCCCGGGATGCAGCAGCAGATGCCAACGCTACCTCCGCCCTCCGTGTCCGCCACAGGCCCCGGGCCTGGGCCTGGCCCTGGCCCCGCACCTCCAAATTATAGCAGGCCGCACGGTAAGGTCCTTGGGATGGGGAAGGGGTCTCAGAGAAGCTGCTGGGTGGGGTTGCTCCAGCCTGTACTCTTTATCTAGCTCCCCCTCTCTGACCCTAAGCCCACTGTCGGCCTTGGTGAGGGGTGTCTCTCTTATAATGGGAGCCAGCCTGTCCAGGAAGCAGTGCAGGCATAAGTATAGGACACGCTTTAGCTCTCTTGTTTGTTTCTCTGTACAGGTATGGGAGGGCCCAACATGCCTCCACCAGGACCCTCAGGTGTGCCCCCAGGGATGCCGGGACAGCCTCCTGGAGGGCCTCCCAAGCCCTGGCCTGAAGGTACGTGTCGTGCTCCCATTGGGACACTGACTTCCCATACGCACTGGCACTGCAGACGGGGAGTTGAGCCTGGCTTAGGGAAAGGACGGGAGACTGGCTGCCCTCTTGGATATGACTTCACCGACTTCTGCCCGCCCTGGTCCCAGGGGCTCTCTAGAAACAGTCCCAGCTGAGGGGACTGAGCTTCCCCAGAGAGGCACAGCTGCCCATCTGCCCTTCCTAGAGGCCTCGGGGAGAAATGGTCCCTCTGGTCCGTTGCCCAACCTCCCTCCCACTTCCAGCAGCAGTTCTGCACGTGAGAGGCAGGCTTGGGGTTCCATCTCCTCCCCTGACTGAATGAGGCTCTGGGTCAGCTCCTGACCCTCCCTGTGGCCGAGTGTTGCCACACAGCCGGAGGTGGTGCTGGGTGACATCATCACTGGGTCATTTTCTCCCAAGAGAAGAAGGCGAAAAAGAAGACTACAGGAGGAAGGGCATTGGCGGGGGAGCTGGAGGACAGTTTGTTCTTATTTAAAGTCAGAGTCTATGTCTCATTCGCATTCTGTTCTTCATGGGTTTGTTCACAGCCCCTGACTCGGACCTCCTAGTGTTTGAATGAATCTGCCTTCTTCCTCTTTGTGTTTTCAGTGGAAGTTTATATGGCACTGTAGGTTCCTAGTCCACACTTTCCATGCAGATCGTCCGTGGCTCGTTGTGTCCTTCACAGTGTGTGAATGTGCTCATGATTTCTTCGTGTTTTATCTAGTGGGGTCCCTCACTTACTGTTGGAGGCTCTTTGTGCTGTCATTCTGTGATAGCAAATGCTGCCAGAGGGCAGCTTTAACAAACAAATCTATTCTCATAGTTCCGAATTTAGGGTGGCGGTTCCAGGGAAGGCTCCCCCCTCTTGGCTTTCAGTTGAAGAGGAAGGCTCTTGTCTCCTTTCAGCATCTGTGGGGCCGGCATTCCTTAAATATCGCCATGTGCCTTGGCATCAGCCTTACCCTGGGTCTAGGAGGTTCTCAGCACTGGGACCCCAGGCCTAAAGGACACGGTCCATTCCTGGTTCTTTTTCCCTTGGTAGTGCTGACGTGCCTCCGCCTCTGCTGTAAGACAAGGTGAAGCAGGCTGCAGCCCAGGGGACATGCTCCTATGATCAGTCAGGTTGGGGCTGTGGCCCAAGTAAGGGTGTTGTGTCCCACCTTAACCCCCTTACTACTGATTGGCTGTTCCCATTAGATGGTGTCACGGGGGATGATTGTGTCATTGCACAACTACCCAGCCAATCCGTGACAGACCATCACCTGCTGGGATTGAAACAGACCCTTTCCCTGACTAAGCTCTTGGGGCCTAAGGTTTTGTGATGGGCCCTGGAGAGACCATTTCTCAGATCAGGTGGGGCCGTGGGAGGTGACAGACAGGGAGGTGCTGGTCCCAGAGTCTGCTCACACCAGTCGAGGCTTCAGAGGAAAAGGGAGCATGTCCCAGGGCAGCGAGTAGCAGACAGGCTTCTCCTACCCAAGACTCAACCCTGGGCCTCTGCTGTGTGACTCTCACCCAGGACCCATGGCAAATGCTGCTGCACCAACCAGCACACCTCAGAAGCTGATCCCCCCGCAGCCAACAGGCCGCCCTTCACCCGCACCCCCAGCAGTTCCACCTGCTGCCTCACCGGTGATGCCGCCACAGACGCAGTCGCCGGGGCAGCCAGCCCAGCCCGCCCCCATGGTGCCACTGCACCAGAAGCAGAGCCGGATCACCCCCATCCAGAAGCCGAGGGGCCTCGACCCTGTGGAGATCCTGCAGGAGCGCGAGTACAGGTAAGGGGCTGTAGTTCTCATACTCTGGGCTTGTCGTGGGGCCTTCTAGAGAAGTTTCCTTTGTGTGTCTCCTTGGTGTACTGGGCTAGGCTCATTGCTCCCCATTTCCTGCCCTTCATCTCGTTTGGAGTCCTCGTGGCCTCTGCTGACCAGCCCTTGGCTGAGGAGACATTCGGTGGTTTCGGATCTTTGTTAGAAACCCTTCTGTGGCAAATCTCTTTGTATATCTCCAATTTCCCATGGTATCTTCTCCAATGCTGGATTCATCAACATTTAAACCACCACCTGCAGGCTCATTTCTCAGGAGCCGCTGACTGCTGTCACCAGGGACTGTGAGGTGCAGAGTCACTGTCTGCTGGGTGTGCTGCCCGGCTCCTTGCCCCTCTCCTTCCTGGCTTCCAGTGTGCTCATGATTTATTCCTTGGGGTGGCCTCCCTTGCTGCACAGTAGCTCTGTGAGGGTCCTCGGTGATAACCCAGGTGCTCTAGTGAATCTCTGCCAAACGATTATCTCTGAAGGGATGTGCCTGATGCCCCTCATGATCTCTGGATGGCTCTCAGCAACCACCAAAGTCCTTGCACAGCCTCCATCAGAGATCTCCTCATAGCCACTGTCAGTCCTCGTCACAGTCAGAGATGAGGCACAGCCGCTCTCAGCTCTCTACAGTCACCATCAGAGTCCTCCTCACGGGCTCCGTCAGTCTTGAAGCTGACCTACCCAAGCGGGTTTCACGCTGGTCATTCATGGCCCACTGCCCATGTCTTGTTCCTGTCGTCCAGCCCAGGGAAAAGGTGCCCTACACACCCCCTCCAGCCTCTGAGACCACCTGTTCTGCACCTGCTCTTTGGCTTCCCTGCTCCCTCTCTTGCCTTACGGTCTGTTTTGTTAAGATGGCAGTTTGAAGTACCTTCTAAAAATGAATTTGTGCCAGATCTGCCCCTCAGGCGGAAACATTTCTCCAGCTTCCCATCAGCCACTCCTTTCTGTTCCCCACACTGCTCTGTCCTTACAAGGCTCTCCCTCTTTACAGGAAACTACCAGCCTGTCACTTAGCAGCTGTGTGCTTAACCACTGTGCTACCAGACAGCTTAGTGTATGTGCCCAGAGTCTCAGGGTCTCTAAGGCCCCCCCAGTTTCTCAAGCAGCACACTGTGGGCCCGGCACCTCATCTGTGTTGGAGGACTCCAGAGGCTGCCAGGCTCACTGCTGAAACATCATCTGCTTTGCTCAGGCCTCTCAGTCACTGTCGTGAGGATCCCCTTCTCTGTTCTGGGCATTTTCTGCCTCGTGACCTATCCACCTCAAGAGGCAGAGCACAAATCTCTCCGAAACTCGGCTATAATGAAAGGGGCCGTATGGGCTCCTGGCACTTGGGCAGGCTGCTCACCTGCCCTTTTTCTGTCTTTGCGCCCAGGTTGCAGGCTCGAATTGCACACCGAATTCAGGAACTTGAAAACCTTCCCGGGTCCCTGGCCGGGGATTTGCGAACCAAAGCGACCATTGAACTCAAGGCCCTCAGGCTGCTGAACTTCCAGAGGCAGGTGGGGCTTAGTGGCAGCCTGCCACTGTGGGTCAGGGACCAGCTGCAGGAGGACGGGCCAGCAGTGGCTGAGGCTTAGTGTCCAAGAGCTCTGTGTGGGTCCTTTCGCCCTCAGCACAGTCCTAGGCACACTGGGCTGCTCCTGTTGGGATGCCAGGCGTGAGCGTGAAGAGGGAGTGCATGGTTTTTCCAAGGCCCCAGCTGCATCCTTGAAGCAGGAGAGCTGAGTGAACCTACTTCCGAGGGTCTTGTGTTTTCAAATGACCCCTAGAAACGGAGGTGGTGGAGAACTGAAGGGACAGGAGGGCCCTCTTGCTGCGCGTCCCCATCTGTGTGGATTGAACACTGGAAAAAGCGCTGGTGGGGAACCACCAGGACCCGCACACAGCCAGTCTGTCCCCTTACTCTCCATAGCTGCGGCAGGAGGTGGTGGTGTGCATGAGGCGGGACACAGCCCTTGAGACAGCCCTCAATGCCAAGGCCTACAAGCGCAGCAAGCGGCAGTCCCTGCGCGAGGCGCGCATCACGGAGAAGCTGGAGAAGCAGCAGAAGATTGAGCAGGAGCGCAAGCGCCGGCAGAAGCACCAGGTACACCCTTGCCCCCGCCCTGTGCCTGCGGGCCTTTTGTCTGTAAACACACCCTATGTTTCCTGTTGGCCACAGCACTGTGCTGAGCGCCAGGATTCCTATCTCTGTTCTCCTGGTGAGGGGACCACGAGCAGTCATGGAGTTCAAGTAATGAACTGGGCGGTGCAGGGCTGTGCAGGTGGAGTGGAAAGAAGTAGCTGTTTGGCAGGCAGTGGAGGGGAAGTTTGAACAGACCTGTGGGAGGGAGCTGTCCAGAGCGAGGGGCAGGTGAAACACCTCAGGCTAGTGCGTGCTTCCACATGTGATGGAGAAGCACAGACCCTGGGGGCCATGAAACGGGAATCAGTAGAGTGGGAGTTGAGTGGGCAGGTCGTATGGGGACCAGTGTTCCACCCGACAGATTGGGCTTTGCTCTCTGTGAGGTGCAAGCCATGGAGGGCTCTGTGTAGAGGTGGCACCAATCTGAATGATCTTGATCAGATCACTCAAGGCGTCTACAATTGCAAATCAAATAGGATTTGGAGTAGATCATCTCTATTTTCTAAAGCCCTCCCATCAATAACTACTATTGGTTTAGCTTTAAATAACAGCAAAACAGTTTGCTCTCAAATTTTCACCACAGTCAACATTTGGATTGGCATTCTCCCATCTTTCCCCCAGTGTACAGACACAGAGGGCCAGAGAGAGGCAGCGCTGGCTTCCCGCGTTAGAAACCACAGAGAGCAGCTCTCCAGGCTCTGCGGAGTCACTATGAATCCGAGTCAGCCCGATGGCCATGGGCTTTCGGGTCTAGATCCAGGGGGGCTTCAGGAAGTGGTGGGAAAATGAAACCAAAAGATAGCGACAACTCCTATTAATCAGTGTTGGAGTTTTAGTGTGCACGGGTAAATCCCTTGGATGGAGTGATTGTTAATTTTTTCCCATGATTAAGGGAGGTTACAGGCTACCCAGAGTCAAGATCAGTAACCAGTAAGGATACAGTCATTGACCGACATTAGCACTTTTCCTCAGCTTCTCAGCCCGCCGCTCACAGTCCCACATCCTCGGTCCTGTTCTTCTTGCTCCGACCCTGTTTTTTTCTGAGCCACAGGCTCAGGGGCCTCGGGGCTCGGCCTCTACCACTTCAGAGAGAGTTCTGGAACATGCTCTTCCCGTGGTCCTGGGCTTGTTCCCTCTTGATTTATTTGTAATTAAACACACATTGACCTGTTTTTGTAAACCTTTGAAACCCAGTTGGTTCTGTCGGTGTTGTGTCCCATCTCCATGGGCCCTGGGTTACTGCATGGGCCTGCAGTAACCTCGGGGGACAGCTCCCTGGGAACGTGCCTATGGTTTTCCACTTTCCAGTATTAAAAAGGCCACTGAGGTGCACTTCAACTCTTGTACCAGCTTCTGATGTTTTCAGAAAATGAAATCTGGGGTAGTGGGAGCGTTTGCAAGGCTTGGATGGGCAGTGCCATGCTGCTTCACCGAAGTCGGGCTGCCCTTGCCGGGTCCAAGGGCCCTTCTCCCCACCCAGTCGCCAGCAGGAGGTTGTGTGATTAAATCAGGGAAACTTGTTACTTGGTTGTTTCAACCCCCCCTTCTCTTTCACATCAGCCTTAGTTGTCCTTGTGTCACCTGGGACAATGTGACAGTGATGTCGGTCTTTTCTGCTCTGTGCTGTCCCTGCAGGAATACCTCAACAGCATTCTTCAACATGCCAAGGATTTCAAAGAGTATCACCGCTCAGTCACGGGCAAGATCCAGAAGCTTACAAAGGCAGTGGCAACGTACCATGCCAACACAGAGCGGGAACAGAAGAAGGAGAATGAGAGAATTGAGAAGGAGCGAATGCGGAGGCTCATGGTAATGTGGTTGCCTTGGGGACTCTGGTTCCTTCTGATCTGTGGGCACTGGGTTGGGTAGTGCAGAGACCAGGTTGTCCCTAGGGCTCAGGCTCAGAGGGCAAGCAGAGAGCGGGGAAAGGGACCCTGGTTTGGGAGTCAGAGAGGCTAGCTCTCTAACCTGGTCGCCCCTGGCTGAGTCCCAAGCTCATAGACTACGTTGTGGACTCGGGTCATTTAGTGGCTGCTCTGTGTTCTCTTAAGAGTGGAGATGACACTGCCTTCCTGGTGTGAGCCATACATAGGTAGGTCGTTCTGACTGCTCACCCTGCCCTTCTCTGACTTTGGTTCTGTGGTATGGCAGACCAAGGGCTGTGTGCACAGAGACACCGTAGTAAGAGGACACTGTTCCTGCTCCCAGGGGCCTCAGGGGTAGGGTCTCCTGGAGCCATGTAGGCTGGCCGTGGGAAAAGTCTCTGGGTGTCACTTCAAACGTAGGGGGAGCCAAAAGATGGGTTCGGCTAGGAGGAGGCATGTAATTTGAAAGATGAGAATTGCTGCAGGGGTGGGTGTGTGAGAGTGATGCTGCTCAGACCAGGTCGAGAGGAGTTTGGATCTGGGATCCAGCCTGCTCAGAGCTCCCACAGGCCCTGGCACTCAACAGGTGTTTTTGCAAACATTTAGCTGAACAGGACGCCTATAGAGCACGGTGCTGGGTACCAGCTGAGAGCCTAATCAGTGTATGTCTGGTATCTGGTTCTGTCTGTCTGTCTGTCT